CAGACTGTACTGTACGTTACTATTAATAGTAATAACTTACTCGAGTACTATTATTAATATTTAAATATTAATAATAGTATATGCATCACTAAAGTATCATACTACGGAATAGTACTCCGGAGTAAGTACAGACTGTACTGTACGTTACTATTAATAGTAATAACTTACTCGAGTACTATTATTAATATTTTAATATTATTACTGTACGTACAGTAATAAAACCTACTGGTACGATTAATATTAACAATAGGCGTATGTATCCGCCGGATAAATGCTATTTTTAGCAGCAGCGTCGGTTTCGATCGAACACATTGCGACCTTGGACCTGACGCACACGACGACAATGGAGGTCGACTTACCTGTGGAAGATCACCATGAAGGAATCACGGAGCTTACGGAAACAGACGGAAGAGCCGGTGGTGATGATGCATCCTCGCTCCCAGAGCATGTCGTCGGTGACGGACCTGCCTCGTCGGACCATGCCGACCACGTGTGTGACCACCCCGTTCCAGATCTGCACGAACCGTCAGTGGCGGGTGATTCCTCCAAAACACAAGTCGTCATGAATGTCGATGGTGTGTCATCGTCGTCGTCGCCGCGCTGTCAGTCGTCCCCCGTGCAAGGCGATTCCAACATACACACGTCATCCCTTGAGACGCATGCAGTCAATAGCTCCACCCAAGATCAACATGTCCGTCCGCCACCACCCATCAACAACCATGACGAAGCTGGAAAGTTCTACACCGTCGACTTAACGCACTCCACGGCACATGCCACGTCTCCTCTGGCATCGTCCGTCACATTCCGTGATCGAATGCGCCGATGGGTCCAACGAGCGCTCGTCGCCAGTGGACGCGTAAGCCACTTCAGTTCTTTCATTCATCCGACACTATTCCTCTCATGTTTGCCGTCTCATCAGGCGAATCCATCCGCGGACGAGTACTTTGAGCAGCAGAAAGACCGGTTCCTCGGCCTCTTGCAGCATCTACAGGCCGTCCAATCGAGTCTAAAGCGACATGCATCGCTCCTGACGCAGTTTGTTGGGTCTGCGTCGCAACTCGGCGTCGACATCCGGTACACGCGTATCCATCACCAACGTGTCCTCCGCTCATGGTCCCATGCAATTAGCTGTGTCGTCCAAGGGAGTGGCGAGAACGTCTTTTCGACTGCCATGGCGAGCCAAGAAGCGCAAATGACCGACGCGGTATGTGATTCCTTGCACCCTAAGTGAATCATGACAGCTCATGGAGAGGGGTGGACGATGTAGGACGCCACGTTGAGCGGTGCGCTGCGCATCTTGGAAGGCCGGATCCAACACATGAAGTCGTTCCATGTAAGTTGATTCCGTGGAAAGATCTTTGGACGTCAAAAACGTGAATCTTTTCACTAAAAAGTGTAAATATTGAACCAATTTTAGGAATGTTTGTCACGACGAACCAATTTGAAGCTGGATGTGGACAGTTTTGAACGACGCGTGGATGCAAGGAAGGGCGTAAGTGGACAATGGTGGTCTCCATGAACGTGTGGCTGAAGATGATTGCGCGAGTAGCGCGGGGACACGAGCGCATTAGAAGCGAAGGCGATGGAAGCGCGAGTGGCAATGGATGCGTGTACGCTAGGATTGTATCGCGTGTTTGCAAAGTATGAAGCGGACCGCCGCTCGATGCTGCACACCGAGCTCGACATGGTGACGAACGTGATTCTTGCTGTCGAGTCGTCCATGTGACAGGGTCTATGTAGGTGCTTCAAGGTCTGCACTCGATGTACACCAAGAACGCGGCAATGACGGCCCCGTCGTCTGCTGCCCCTACCGATGTATCCTCATCCACCACCAAGAAGGACGAGGACGAGGTGAGGCATGCCAATTCCACATGTACCCACTTCACGATTTTCCTGCTTGACGCATGTAGTTGTTTAACATGATGCGAGCTCGAGGGCAGGTGACCAAACCAGGCGCATGCGATGGAACCAACAACGGGGGGGAAGAGTAGTTTACAAGGTGGAATTTATAATAGGCGCATCAATCTTACGGCAGCACGACGCTCTTCACGCTTAGGTTTGACGAAGTCGACGGAGCGGCGGCAGTCGTCGCAGTGGATGGTGCTGATTTTGGTAGTTTGCCAATGATATGCAATGCAGACGTGTAACCATACCCTTGGGAAGTTGGGAGGCTCGACAACATGCCCCATGTGTCGTAGATAGTAGGCGAGGTGGCATGCGAGGCCTTGTCATCGATAGGGAAGGAACCGACGGTCCAAAGCCGCGTGACATCTCGGCGTCGACGCGTCGAGTCACTGAAGGGTCTGCATGATGGCTTGGCGCGCCGAAGAAGGATCGAAGCGACGGAGCGCTGCATGTTGCTAGGACGTCGGTGATTTCAGAATGCGCAAAGGGGAATTCTGGGCTTTGAGGAAACGAGAATGTTGGCGGTTGCAGTTGTAATCTGGGAGCCAATCCGATTGGAGAACGCCCAATAATAGCCAATCGGCGGTGACGAAACAGTCATCTCGACGCGGATTGGCTGGATGACGCAGTAAGTCGCACTATCATCCGGATAATATTATCCGTCTTGCAGACAATAGAAAAGTTGACTTGTTTGTGGAATTCGTGAGGTGGCTGGCCAAACGTTTGATTATGAACCAATCAGAGTGCGTCATAGTTTCTTCCACATATAATTGGTCAAGACGTAACGTTACTATTACAGTAGTACATTTACTACGGTAGTACTATACTATTAATAGTACCAAGTTCCCAGGAACTCAAAACAACTCATGCTGCCAGCATCAGCTAGCTAAATGTCCATGTCAGCGATCCTCGAGTAACGTTACACTTACTATTACGTTTCCTTAACGTTAGTAATTAGTTGTTGTTTGTAAACTCTAGCCAATGGAGTCGACATCGAATGACGAATGGTTCGAATTTCACGTTAGGAAGGACCAACAGCATCACTACTATAGTATCTCATGGCTTCGGTCGACTGGGTCCTACACCCAAGGTTTAAAGTCAAAATGAGAAAGTGATGGGTAACGTTAGACCTACCATCAGTAAGAATCATATTATAGGGGCATAGGCACCCAAGGGTTAACCAAATCAAGTCGACATACAGTGCAGTTGTCCAGGCATTAGGCATTGGGCAATTGCAGTTTCAACTACTAGTAACAGTGTAAACACGAGTACATAACGTTAGCAGGGTCTTAGTCGCGGAGTCGACTGGTAGTCGACGTGCACTAGGAAATCCAGGAAGTCGCTTTAGATGCTCAACGAGTAAGTTTCTGTAAGCGTAATGCTGTTACGATGCGGTTAGAGCATCTCCAACGGCGTTTTTATTTCTATTTCAATTCGAAGTTACGGATATAGAATAGAAACTCTTGCTCTATCCCGAGGGTTTGTTGCTATATCACGCGAAAATAGAAATTCTGTGGGACGAAATTTCTAAAAAGTCCGGATAGTGCCAAAATAGCAACCGTAAAAACGAAGTTTGACTTTAACCTATGCTTTAGCAATAGGTTAGAATTTACCGTTGGAGATGCTCTTAGCCGCAGCCTGAGTCTAGAAATGAGAATAGCAACTGTTATTGTCATTTTCTAGCATATAATTGGACACAACTTTGGTTTCGAAACCATGCGATTAACAGTAAAAGAAATACTCCGAATGCTAGTATTATTATAGTACGAACAGTACTTCAAAGTAGAAATTAGGTTGGTTACAAACACGAAGCTATACTTACTTGTTCGTAATCTTCGAGCCTTCTAATAATATACCAGTACGTACGTATATTGTGCTTTGCACTTGTTTTGGCTTCGGTTACTGATGCCACGGTCACTTTATCTCCTTAAATCAAACTTATTTCATATTATAGCTTGTACAGTGCGACAATTTCGGGAATATGGTGTGTGAAACGTTATACTTAAGGGAATTGGAATAAAAACACCTTTTTGATGCCGAGTATAAAGAGTATAACGCGTGTTTTACTACATGGCTAAAAGAGTGGTACTTCTGCAGTAACTGTGTTAGAGCATCTGCACCGGCACCAGTAAAATCGACCTCATTATCCGCATAATTTGTTCGGATAAGACATTTACTGGCCTTACTGGAGTGCACTTTACTGAAGTCACATTTGTTTCGCACCAACAACTTGTTCGGTGACTCTGGCCACCAAATGGAGTACCCTGCATTGCTCAGCGACAGCGAAAGCAGTGGCGATGACGACTTTGTCATCGCCCTGATCCTTCGTAACATGTCAGCTGCGAGCGATCATTCACGGCGATGGCGCCAAGGCTCCCGCCGAGGCAAGAAGCCCAACATAGAACGCAATCGTGCACAGTACGACAAGCTGTTGATGGCGGATTACTTCAACCCAGTGCCAACGTACGACGCCAGCCATTTTAGACGACGATTTCGTATGCGAAAGAGCCTTTTCCTTCAAATCGCACACGATCTTGCGCAACATGATCCATATTTTCAACAGAAACCTGACGTCACAGGTCGAACATATTCATATATAAAAATACATTGCATCCAGTCACTTGATATATGTTAGGACGAAATGGTTTCTCATCTTTGCAAAAGGTTGCTGCGTGTGTCCGATACCTTGCAACGGGATGTTCGCTCGACGACTTGGACGACAGGTACTAAATATTTGTGATTACAAAATGTATCAAGTATAATATATAGATATCGAATTGGTGAAAGCACAATGCGCCAAGCCCTTCGAAAGTTCT